AGTCAGGTAAATTAGAGAGACGGACTACATTATCTTATATCAGAAGGCGACACCTAGAGTATTTTATAATTAAAGTACTTTGGGACATAAGACGATAATTCCTGAAGTCGACGTTCCTGTCTAAAGTATGGTTCTGGTGATAAAAATATTGCAACACTCGTTGACTTTGTCGGAGAAGATATATAAAATAAAAATAAATGCGTCAAGTAGGTTGACCCTGCATTTCTTACGAAGTGTTGACATCAGCTCATAAAGGATTCTGTTCAGCACAAGCTGATAGAAAAAGTTACATACATATGCATGTATGACAGAGAAACTAAATAAATCAAGTCAGTCAAACAGGCTCATACAAATACGAATACGATGCGTCAGACGCGGCAGCGCCAGTCAACCCAGAGGTCAGGAGCAGCGTCGCGTATCAAAGACATTTCTGGATTATTTTAAGTTTTAAGGTCAAATGTATGAAGAATACTCTCTTACACTCCCAGTCCCAGTTTTTAACCCACACCAAAAATTTTCTGAAAATGATTAGGAACCTCTGAAACGTCAAAAAGAACATGATGTTTGAGCGACTGCTATTTTGTTTCAGTATTTTGAGCTTTAGCATCACAACCACCAAATCGATGTATAAAAATTACAGGTGTTTCTGGTCGTTGACCGAGTGCTAACTTGGTGTGAAAATTTCATTAAAAGCGGAGCTGTACTTTACTAAGTTATAGACGGATTAGTGGAGATACCGACAAACAGACCGACGGAAATTGACATAGTTTTTCGTGATGTACATGTATGATATAACATTGAAAAACAACAAGCTTTTTGCGATTACAATACTTCTTCGCCAGTGAGCATGGGAATTAGAATTCCATTTGTAAATACGAATACAAAAACTGCTACACATACACTTACTTATTGAATACCCGATCCCGTGGAACTTTTTCAAAATTATTACGTATAATATTAAATACAAACTGATCATTTAAATAATTATATCTGTTTCATAATGGTATACTGTACACAACAAAGTTTTTGAAATTGTGCTAAATGATCAACTTACCTCTCATCTCGAGTCAAGTCAATTATTCAACGACAAGCGGTTTGGATTTAGACGGCTACAGCAATCAATTGTCTTGTATATCTTGTTAACGAAGGATTTAAGAAGCATCTACATACCAAGGCGGACCTTTTCGATTTATCTAAGGCTTTTGATTATCTGCAACATAGTACTTTAATAAAAAAAATGCCTTGTTATCACATTCACCCTTCTAGCGTCAAGATTTTAGACTCTTACTTATCCGACAGAGAACAACTAGTACGTTTCAATGGCTGAAACTCTGATACCAGATCAGGGTTGCTGTTTTTATTATACATTAATGATATCCCTTGTAGCCTGTCAGATTCGCACAATGCTGCTTTGTTTTTATACTACACTACACTACTTTGGTAAATTCTAATAAATATGTAAATACCCTTGTCGAAACCAGCTCACTGTGTAACTCGTACCTTGAGGATTGGTTTGCTGCCAACATGTTATTGCTCAACACTGATAAAACTCAGTCTATAAATCTAAGCTTACGCAGTCATGAGTTGGAATCTGCTCAATCCCTGAAATTGCTAGGAGTACATATTGACTGTACTCTGACATGGCAGGTGGATACTCGCTGTGTGGTGGATCGTTTGTCCAGAGTTATATATCTCATACGTAGTCTAAAGGATAGAGTATCTGAAGTTATATTAATTGCTTATCATGCATATTTCCTATCTAAAATGACATATGCAAATTTGGTCTGGGGATATTCTCCACATTTGCAAAATTGTGGCATGCAAACGCGTTGTATCCGATACATCTCTGGTTTGAAACAAAGAGATCCCTGCAAGGCTGAATTCATTAAATTGGCGATACTAACCCTTCCACGTGCATATATTTTGAGTTGTCTCCTATATATCAAAAGTAACATTAGTACCTTCCCCACCCATAGTGGTAACCACAATTATGAAACACGAAATAGAAACATTTGTCATAATAACTACCGTCTAGAAAAATCAAGAGTTAGAACTAACCTTTATGGCACTAAATTTTTTAATCTGCTGCCCAACAATATAAAGACAATATGTTTTTCATAGGAAACTCACGTATTATTTAATAAAAAACGCATTCTTTAGCACGGACGAATATTTGGCAAATGACTTAACTGATATACGTTAAATGTTTATTTATTTATTTCTCTGCTCAACTTGTGTACACTTGTTATTGTTTTGTGTGTCTGTATGTGTATAGTTAATTGTATTACACATACATTTTTCTAAGCGATCTTCTTTTATCTCATGACGACTTTCTGTGTATTGTTATTATTAATATTATAATGCATGGCATAAATCCTTCTTCTTATCTAGCAGTACTTCGAAACTGTAATTTGAGCCTATTTATTAATAAATCTCCATTACAAATTAAGATATTGGTCTTTGGTTTTAACCATTCTAGAGAGTTTGTTATAAGCTTTCTGATCAAAAAAATCCTTGTGTGTGAACTTTTTGAATAAATCCAGAAAGTGCCATTAGCAGTCAAAAACTTACCTAATCTGACGAGATCAAGCTTTCATTGGAAATATTGAATATTCCTCCACCTCAAGCTGACCAAAATATGAGGAAATGACAAACAAAAAAGTCCATAAATGGATCGGTCAACAGGATAAGTCTATTTAATGAGTATGTTTATTATAAATGCTTGCAAAATAATAGAGTTTGAATTTCTCTTGGCGACTTTAATAATTATAATATTTATTAGGCTGAGCGGTTGCTGAGATACGTCGGGGTATTTTATTATTAGCCTATCCGGTACATCACGAAAACCCATGTGGATGGGAATAATTTTATGACTCTAGTTTTTGACCCACCATACGTTTATCCGTACATTTGCCCTTACAACTTAAAATGATAAACATTCTCAACGCATGCGTGTCAACATAAGCGTCGCGTCGCATGTTGGGGTCTGTTCAAAATATGACCGACGGGTAGCACACGAGGATTAGCAACGTTGCCAGATGACCAGTATTTTCCGTAGGATACGGAAAGCATTTCTAGATGGCAACTTTGTCGAACGTCTGGGGCTATGGACTAGATTTATAGGTCTGTTTGACTGATAAAATGCATAAATATAATTTTTCTGTTTGTCTCAGAGGCGGTCACTTCTGCCGAATTCCTTATGAACTGCGATAATTTTCACGCAAAATGCACTCTGACAATAATTTTGTATCCTCTAATTGAGTATGATTTTTTATGCGTAAGGACTCTCTGGTTTGCAAACGTAATGAAAATCCAGTAGAAATATTCCATAGAATCTCAGCTTCTTAACTGCTGCTTCTCTTGGAGTGTGTACTGATACTAGTCTTCTAGTACGAGAGTATTACATTTTATTTGTTTTATTTATGGGCTTTTGGGAGTGTGGTCCATGCCGCCAGACACTGTATGTGCTGAGTGACAAAAAGGATAAGCACCTAAGTATGTTTATTAGAATTCAAGAATTTTTTAAATCGATTTTTCCTGCCATGAACAACAAGTGATAAAATGGTCAGGTTTTTCTGTTAAGTTTTTGTGGTGACTGCGTGTATTGTTTGGTGATAGAGAAGCATTCAGTTTTTGCACATTTACGGTGTCAGTTAAATGTTAAATTTCGTGTAGCTTCTTGAAAAGCCTCTTTATGATTGCCCAACTAAGTGACTTTGAGAGGGGTCGAATTGTCGGGTTGCGTGGAGCCGGTCTATCGATAAGCAAAGTTTCTAGGAGGACCAACACATCCTTATGCAGTTTGAACGAGCGTGGACTCAGGGGGGCCAAGGACAGCGAGCGAGGGGTTCTGGATGTCCCAGAGACAGATTCACTGGTTCTCGAGCCATCGCTAATCAGTGGTTTGAAGAGCATGGAAGGATGGTTGGTATACGTACGATTTATCACCGAATACGACAGTTTGGCCTTTTCTACTATCGCCCACATTCGGCGCTACCTCTCACATCGGCGTAACCGTTTGCTCTGGTGTAGAGAAAGAATTCTGTGGGACCGGGAATAGAATCAGGTGGTCTTCAGTGACGAATCTCGCTTCTGTCTGGGGATGTACGATGGTCGGGCAAGAAAAGGCGACGTGGTAAAAGACGTGAGCCACAATTTGACGGAGAGCGTCACATTTACCACACCGTGGGAGTTATGGTATGGGGTGCTATTGCTTATGGTAGCAGATCACCACTAATTTTCATCAGAGGCTATATGACAGCCCGACGTTATATTCAGGAAGTTGTGGAGCCTCATCTTATTCCACAACTAAGCACCATCCAAGGCCAATGCCAGACCGCATATTGCCAGAGCATCGCTAGCCTTCATGGATCAACATCTCATCAATTGTTTACCTTGGCCACCACGATCGCCTCACCTACCTCCAATTGAACATGTCTGAGACATGATAGGTCGCAGGCTCTTGAACTTGCAACACCCTCCACAGACTTTTGTAGCTCTTACTCACGAAGTTGCAGCAGCCTGGAATGAGATACCCCAACAGGATATCTACCACAATGCCCAGGCGTGTCAATGAGTGCATAAGAAATCGTGGATCCTCAACACATTATTGAACCAGCTTCTGCAGTCAGTTGACGAATCAAGCTTAAAATTCAATCATTTTACCAGTAATGGATACTGAACATATAAGCCACAAATGATTGAAATGGGATAAACATGCATAGGTGTTTACCTTTTTTGTCACTCAGTATATTATAACATATAATAATATAAATTGATACTATTAATATTGACGGTTATACACATCCATTTGTATATGTAATTTGAAAATTTCACGACGGCGACGCGAAGAGGATAAAATGGGGATACAAACCAACGAAGCAAACTATATAATAGACTACTAAATTAGTATTCACTGTAAATACCTCAAAATATCGGAGAAAAGCCAAAAATATTTAAAACCAGAGGTGTACAAGTCAAGAGCAGGAAGAGGTACGTCCGTGGACCTGTTGGCGATAGTTTCCAGAGCCGTGGGAGTAATCTTCAGCCATTTTACCATATATTCCATTTTGTCATTTGGACATTTCGTCAATAGTGTCAAATCAAATTAAGAAACTAGTCTACAGAGTGTATAGGGTAATCCGGAAATACCCGCTGGAATAAGGGAACATGAGTCAGACTGTACGAGAGAAGAATAAAAACATGAAAGATCCTGAAGATGGGGATAATGTAGAAAAATACAGTGATAACAACGAAGAATTGCCGGTCGAGAACGATGGTCTTGCCCAGCCTGTTGTAAACAGGGACGAGTTACCCGAAGCGGATCCACCTCTTCCACATGCGGTGCTCGTTCAGAAACCACTGCTCCTTTACAACCAGATCAGTCTACCCCTACCGACACTCTCACCCTTATACTTAACCAATTATCAACTATGGCCAGTGACATAAAGGATATTAAGAACTCTCAATCTCAACTCAGAACTGATGTTGCTTATTGTAGAAACTTGCTACAGCAACATTCGGACTCGATGTCTCGGCATGATGACTTAATAGCAGCCTGCGAAACCAACATACAAAATATCCAGGTTACTCAAACAGAGCTGTCTTCTAACATTGCTAATATTGAATCGAGACTTGCAAGATCTATGGAGACGATGCACTCAGGCAACGGCGCTTCTTCTACCCCTATTGCCCCAAGCTCCCAAGCTCAGACAATGGAATTATTTATACGTTCCCACAATATCATTCTGAAGGGCATAGCTGAAGGGAACGATGACTTAAACATAGTATCAGAGATAATTAGGCATATTGAACCATCTGCCGAAAATCACCGACTCAGCATCACTCGCCTTGGCAGAACAACTTCAATCAATCGTTTAATTAGAGTTGTGTTTTCCTCACCTATTATCGTCAGCAAAATTTTGCGGAAGAAAAACTCCATCCTTAGCCACCCCACTCTTCGTCACGTAAAAATCTCTGACGACAAAACCAGAGGTCAAATGCAAGAACTACAACACCTTCGCGAAGAGCTTAGACGTCGTCAAACAACAGGCGAAAGTAATATTACTATAAAATACGTTCGTGGTAAACCTTCCATAGTACACAAAGCTACCCAGGAGATCACACCTTCAACAAACTGATAAATTCTGTGGCAAACTGGACGATTTGTTACACTGATATATAATCTCTCTTTTCTAACCTACTTGAACTCCAAGCATTGGTTCGAGACAATGATCCAACGTTCGTTTGCCTTACTGAAACATGGCTCCATTCCAACGTGTCCGACTCTTCCATCAATTTGCCTGGATACAATTTATACAAAATGGATTCACCACGCACTCCTGGTTTTGGTGGAGTATGCATTTATGTTCGCACGGAAATCGCGTCGGCTTTCTTGGTATCTCCCTCTTTCAGTCCTTTCGATGGCATTGACAATCTATTTTTGGAATTGAGGTGCCCAAATTTCATCTTCACGATAGGCTGCATATATCGGCCACGGCCCTGTTTGGGAGACACACACCTGTGCAGTCTCATTTCAGATCTCTTAAATAAAAACACCAACCTTTTCAAAGCTGGTGACTTCAATCTACGTGACATTAGCTGGCCTATGTCAACCATTCCTGAATGCAATTCTTCTTCTGCTGCTTACATCGACTTGCTACGCAACTCTAGCATATCTCAACTTGTTGAGCGTCCAACGAGATTCAGGGAAGGACAGACGCCTAGGGCTCTGGATTTGATATTCGTTAACGACGCCGACTTTGTTTCTAATTTAGATTATTTGCCACCTTTTGGCAAGTCTGACCACTGTTCACTTTTATCTTCTCTCCAGTTCAATATAAATAGTCGTTCTACAACCGATAAGTTTAAAACCATCAAAATTGTAAACCACGATGCTCTTAACCAAGCCCTGTCTGAAGTCAACTGGCCTGCTTTGCTTAACAACCGTAGCACCCAAGATATGTGGGACACTTTCGCTCAACGAGTCCTAAGCGAAACGGCTGACAATACTGTTGAAAAGAAGGTATACTGTGACCCCTCAAAGCCCTGGATCAACTCTAACATATCGAGGATGCTTCGTCACAAGGGATCTTTGTGGCAATGGTTTAGGAGTGGCCATTCACAAGATTACGTGTCTCATCGATCCTTTTCTAACCTCCTATCTAGAACGTTACATAATGCCAAACATGCTTATGCACGAAAACTCGTTACCTCCAAAAATAAGAAGAAGCTGTTTCGGTATCTAAGAACAAACCTGAATTCCAAAGTTTCATCACCTCTGATCCGCGACGCTGACGGTCATCTCCACATGGATGCCACCGAATCTGCCAACTTACTGGCAGAGTCCTTTAGTGATGACTTCGTCGATGAGCCTAATGGAGACCTTCTACCGACCACTATCTGCCATAGGTGTCCCAACAGCCTTTGCGAAGTTGAGTTCCTGCCTGAAGATGTATTAATGCACCTGCGAAATCTGAAGACCTCTTCCTCTCCTGGTAAAGATGGGATGACGGCTGCTGTACTTAAAAACTGCGCTTCAGCACTGGCCCTACCATTAAGCTTGATATTCACATCGTCTTTTAGATCTCATACCCTACCCTCATGCTGGCTTAGTGCTTCTGTTACCCCTGTATTCAAAAAGGGCGACAAATCCTCCGCTAAAAGTTATCGACCAATAAGTCTTGTTCCTATCTCCGCCAAAATAGCTGAAAGAATCATATTAGATAAGCTGCTGTCATTTGCTTTCGAAAATGACCTTATCCCTAAGAATCAGCATAGATTTCTCCCTGGTCGATCAATAATGACCAACCTTCTCCACTCTCTCAACGATTGGACTCTGTATCTGAACACTAAGACTCCTGTTGATATAATCTACTTAGATTTTTCTAGGGCTTTCGATCGCGTACCACATAGAAGGCTTCTGTTTAAGTTGGAATGTATGGGAATAAGAGGCGAGTTGTTGCTGTGGATTAAGGCTTTTCTCACCGGGAGGACTTTCTCTGTGCGCGTCAGTGATAGCCAGTCTCACCATCATGTAGCAAGTGGAGTTCCTCAAGGCTCTGTCTTGAGGCCAGTGCTGTTCCTTCTGTATACAAGTGACCTGCCCGCATTGATTTCCTCCACATATTCAGCTTACGCCGACGACACCAAGATTTACAATACTGTCGTAAATTCTGCTATGGTTCAACGAGATCTTGATATTGTTTGTCAATGGTCAGTCAGTTGGCTTTTACCCTTAAATCTAACTAAGTGTTGTGTCCTTCACCTCGGGAAGACAAATCCGCGATTTACATACAAGATGTCTGACCACAACATCGAAGCAGTTTCCAGCCACACTGATCTGGGCGTTGAGGTCAACGATCGTCTTTCCTGGTCAGAGCATATTCACCACGTTACATCAAAAGCCAAGACACTTCTATACCTGTACATGCTGGAGAGGTCTTTCAAAGGAATTCGATGTCAATACTTGCGCCTACATTTACAAGGCATTGGTGAGGCCAATTCTTGAATTCGCTGGCCCGGTATGGGACACTGTGCTTCTGCGCGATAGAAATCTCGTCGAATAAGTACAGCGTCGGGCTACTCGTATCCCTTTTGGAGCACGAAGACCAAGCTATGAAGATCGCCTTGAATTACTCAACCTGACCTCATTCTCTGAGCGAAGACTTCGTGGCGATCTTATAGTTACGTTCAGGATACTTCATGGCTTGATGGGCACCAACCTGATGCATCTATACCGTCTGTCGCGCAGCAATCTACGCGGACACAGCTTCAAACTGCATAAGGAGCCATTTAAAACAACAGTCTGACAGTGGTTTCTTCCCAACTGCATATTCAACACCTGAAATAGTTTACCTCAAAGTGTGGTTGGTGCTACTTCAGTTAATAGCTTCAAAGTGCAGTATGATCGCTGGAGGAGTGTACAAACTTTATAGCTATGAACTGTCTTTTTTTATTTTTTTCTATTTGATGTATTTGTGTTACGTGTCCGTACACTATATCTACTGCATGAGCTTATAGTACTGTGTACTCTGCTCATCTCAATTATCATAATAATAATAGTAATAATAATAATAATAAAACTGATCGCCCAGCGGCCTATCATGGCATTTGGTACTCACAACACGGGCCACGCTAAAATGGGTATAACATAAAGGGGTGAACATGGGAAAACAACGGGACGTTTACTTGTTTTAGAAAATTCATACCACTGTGCATCACTTTACTATCATTAAACGATAAGGCATAAACAATACTGAAGAGGTCGAAGAGGCCATATCTTCGCACGCTTTCGCGGAACTGTGCCTGCTGTCGCATATATTTCTGACGTTTTACTACATAGTATTACAAAATTGATACCATCTCTTTGCAAGGCACCGCGATTAACCGCAAAACATACCAACATCCCTACAAGTCCGATTCTAAATGAACGAGGAATGCAATGGAACAGAACGAACGGGATAACCTGCAACAACACTAGACGGAAAACAAATATTTAGCCGTATTTCCGAGAGTAGATTACAATGGTGGTGCTGCGTTGTGTGCGCTCCAATCCCGATTGTGAAGTGCGCTGCCGCAATTTATAATTTTTCGGCAGCCGGCAAGCGAATTGAATAGGGCCATTTGCATACGTAAACCATGGGGAAAGCGGTGGGGGAATGACGCGAAATACCTGCGTTTGGCGGCAGAGCGACGCGTATCCACGGAATAATTTGTTGGATTCCATTTGCCGGTGCGGATTTAATGAATATATGGGATAGATGCGGACTATTCAGGTTAGATAGCGAATTGACGTACACGCACAAGTTTACCATTTTGCATGCGTTAAGGCTCTCCCAGACTGATGCGAATTATTCACGACGGACTCGTCATGGAGAAGTCTCAGAGAATTTCATGGCGAATTCCGGACACACACGACGAAGCTAATAACCAGGGTTGTTTCAAAAATAAGATTTCCACATTTTTTCAGGCACAATGAATTTTTTGTTTAATAAAACGGATTCACTGTCAGACGTTAAGATATTTTTCTACATAGTCACCATTCTTTTCTACGCATTTCTTGGGACGTGTACTGCACTTTTGAACTCCCGCCACAAGGAAGTCCACCGCCAGCCCGTTTAGAAACCTGGTAACTACTCCTTGACCGCCTAGGTGCTGATTCGATTTTGAAAACGCGATGTTAGGGCTGTAAGGGGGATGGGATTGACTTCCTAGCCAATCCTTCGTTTGTTGTGAGATATGCGGATGCGCATTGTCGTGGTGTAGTCTTACGGTTTGATGATACTTTCCCTACGACTATGTTGGACTACCCATCTCAGCTATTTTAGAAGCCTTAGGAATTTCAGCCGCCAGTCCCCGGATCGTAATTCGCCGATCTTCGAGCAAGCTTTGCTCAATCTTCGCTGCAATTTCCTCGGAGGTCGTCGGCTTCCCGGATGCTCATCGCG